CCACAGCTAATCGCTTCTTTCTTCACACTTAGTTTTTCCCTGGATCTTCAGATCTTCATTTCTAAAGCCTATTACGTCATGTAAAACTTTGTTAAATAGATTTGTTATGCTTTTCTCTTGTTAATCTGTCTTCTTTTAGAGGAATGTCAGCTGTGGACCTTACCAGGGTTGAAGAAAAGATGTTACTTTTCGCCCTACACCCTCAAGAGGTTTCTTAATGCTCAATATTGATCTACCAAGGTAATGAAATTTCCTTTGATGCATTCAGATTTGGGCTATATTACTGTTTAGATTTGCTTCCTAAACCTGCAAGATCTTGAGTCTGTCACTTCACCTTCATTATTAAACAAATAGGGAAAATAACATTGTCTCGGTGAACTATCATAAAAAAACCCTGTCAAATAAAACACCTAACTCTGTGTTTAACACACTGCTCAAAAATAATGGCTATTATTGCTCACAATAACTATGCTTCTTAAGATAGTGAAATATGATTTTGAAGGCCATGTGTTTTGCATTAGGATTTTAGATATCTTCTGCCTCCTCTATAATTTTGATGGGATGCTTGTAGTTAGCTTTTATTCCAGGACAAACTCAAGCGAAGTCAATTTGATTCGACACAACAAGCAATCATTAGTTATTTTCTGTTGTAAAGATTAAATGAGCTGGCATCAAGCACTGTGCAAAATAAAGCTTTATGTATACTAAATATTAATAAATCTTGACAAAATGGTGATGATTCTTTGCCTGCTTCTTTTCCCCTTTCATGTCTGTCAGTGGCCAGACACTTTGCTAGGTATTTTTGGAGATTCGCAGTTGAATAAAACCTGGATTTTTACCCAAAGGAGGTCATGATACAGTAAAAGGACATTTCTCAAATTCTAATTTGCACATGAATCAGCTGGGATCTTGATAAAATGGAGATTTTGATCTTGTAGGTGTTAGAGACTCTGTGTTTCTACCAGGTTCCAAGTGATAACAATATGGTTGCTTTAAGAACAGCCCTTTGAGTTGCAAGGTAGTAGGGGATGGCAGTCATGCTATAAGGGAGAAGATGTGAGGTCTCAATAAATATTCGGTTAACAGATACATGAGTGAAGGCTGTGTTTTAGAGTAACAGTGGACATGCTAGTTTAAAATTGTGGAGAGGGAGTTCAAAGGTGCTTCAGGTGGGGGGCATAAGTCAGAGAGGTGACTGAAATCAAAGGATGCTTTAAACACTGATTCTCAAAGTGCGGTACCCAGACCAGCAGCTTCAGCGTCATCCAGAAACTTGTTGGAAATATAAAATTCTTGAGTCCCACCTAAATGTACTAAATGAGAACATTCAGTGATAGGGTTCAGTATGCTGTGTTTTAGCAATCCCTCTAGTTCATCCTCATGCACATTAAAGTTTGAGAAACACCTGCTTAAAGAGAAGATGGTGATTTCAGATTATTTAGAGCGTAGTGTATATGAAGAAGAATAAAATAAAGTCTAAATGGATTATAACATCAAGGATGTGGTGGATAGCTAGGCACTCCATTGATTCTAATCATAGGGCTGACAGGACAAACATTATTTTCCTGCCCAGCCATGCTCAATACCCAAAGCACTTAATGTATCCCACGTTGACATACTGTTACCTCGTCACAGAGGAACAAGGACAAAGCTGACTGGTGAAGGTCTGGAAACTTTGACTAGAGAGAGTGGAAGCTGAAGCTGAGAAGAGGGCAAGGAGAGGCTCAGGGGACATACTGTGAGTAATTGCACTCGGGCATGATTCAGAGGTGTGGGGAGGCTCTTGAATCAAAAAATGGGCTTTGGAGAGGTAGAATACAAATGTCACAAATCCAGGAAGCTAAATCAGACATCAGAGAAGAAATGAGGAGAGACTGAAGCTCCACAGTAATTGACGGAGACAGAGGGGCCAGATGAAAAGGACTCTACTTGATATTAGAGGAACCTCAAGTTGTGGAGGCACAGCTTAGACACAGTGATCCCACACTCCAATGCCAGCACTGCCTCTGTTAATGACAGATCTGTCCATCAAGCACACAAAGAACCCCTTAGTAATAGGCAATAAAGCACCTGTTACCTTCTTATCAAGTGCATAACAGGGTTCTGTTGTTTTTGTTGAATTCTGAATAATTTCTTTAATCAGTGCTAACAAAGTCTTAATATTTATTTTTTTTACATTTATGAAAACAAATTGTTTCTCAAACTTAGCAGATGGCCAAAATGAACATTTTTCAAAGACCTTGGGAGTAAAGAAGAAGGAAAAATATGGAAATGGTAAAGTGAAAAGAACCCAGCACTAAATGATAGAAATACAGAATTGTAGCCAGTTCTGCCACCATGTCTGTGATTTGGGTGAGTTGCTTTCCTTCTCTGTAAGCTTCTGTTTCCTTATTCACTGCAGTACAGATTCTTACCTTCTCTACAAAACCCCAGTGTTAAATACAATAATCCTTGAGAAAGCTATTTTAAAATTGCAAATGTCTAAGTACAGTATTATTGAGAAAACTAGTCTGAAACCAACCTTGTCCTTTGCTTCCTTCCTGGCCCTTTTAGTCCTTTGAGTTTGAGAAAATTCATAACTCAGCCACATAGATATAAACATTTTGAAATTATTATTATTTCTTTTACAGTTATTCATTTTGAGATATCTAATTATCATTTTCTTCAAAATCTTTTGACTATCAACATCATCAATATTATCAAATAAAAAAATAAATTTTCTGTCAACCTTGGAGAAATATATGAATTCGTGCTGAAACTACAGGCTCTCAGTTATTTTTTTTTCTTGTTTCTTTACAGGTCCTGTTCATTTCTTATTTACTGATAAGTAAATAAAAGGATAGGCATTGTTATCTTTCTTATACACTATTCACCTTGGAAGAAGACACTGAGGTTTTGTTTTCTCACGTACAATATAAGTGAAGTGTTTATCATAATAAAAGCTAATATTTATGAGTGCCTGCTGTGGTCATGTATTTAAATTTATTAAAATTGACTACTTTTCCAACTCATCAGGTGGTTGAAATAGGCACTCTCCAAATAGCTTGTATGGTGAATAGATCATCCAGGTTACTTTAGCTGAATTATTTTGTTTCCTCTTCACAGCTCCCGTAAGTATTTCTCTGCTTCCACTTTTGATGAATAGTTTAAAATTAGAGATACTAAATGACTCACCCAGTTGTATGAGTCCAGAGCCTTTAGTCTTAACTATTACCCCATAGTGTGTAGAGAGAGAATTAATCTTGTCATGACTCTCGGATGTCAATTTGTCCATTACTTACTTTCTATCACACGATGCATGTTTTCTCCCTTGTACAGCATACATAATTCCTAGTATTCAGTAGGCACTCAGGAAATGATATTGAATAAATGTATCAAATGCTTATAAGGCAGTCTCTGGGTTCAAGGGGTATGACAAATTAAAAAAACAAAAAATGTGTGATCATTTCTATGATAGAGGAAAATTGTCTAGGAACAAATCTTAAAAAAGCCAAAAAACAAACAAAAAAACAAACAAACAACTGTTTATGGGAGGAAGGAAATCTTCCCATTCTTTTTATAATCCCTATCTTGGGAACGATCTATCTAAATAACATAGACTCAGTATTAGATTATTCAAGGTGAACAGAAATGACTTTTCCTCCATTCAGTCAGGATAAATCTGAGTTTTGAGATATGAGTTAGAGTTAGCCAGACAGGAAAAGGAGGTCCAAGAAGACACATGAAAGAATCGTTGCATTGGCAAATTTCATGTAATAGTTAAGTTTGGGAAGTGCCAGGAACAAAAGTAAAGAATGAGATTGTAGTTGGGAGCAAGATATTACACGCCATTGGTAAAGAATTTTAAACATACTCTGGAAATAAGACATTCCAGAGGAGGAGTGATGAACTCATGATTTGAATATCAGAAAGATCATTCTAGTGGCTGTGTAGAGACTGGATGGAAGAGGACTAGACTTGATATGTGGAGTACATAAAGAAGGCTATAAAATGGTTCAGGTGAGAGATGATGAAGCTCAGAATGAAGGCTGCAGCATCAGTATGAATGTAGAGAAAGGGCAAGGGTGAAATATATGAAAAAAAAAATATTTTTAAAGAAAAGTCTCATCTCAGGCCCAGAGGTAGAGAAAAAGGAAAACGGTCCACCAAACAGCAAGCTATGTCCCCCAAGATGTTGATGAAGCAGATGCCTTGGCGTGTATTCAAATTAAATTTTGTAGCTTTCCTTATTACCTTATTAATTGTTCCTATTCTTTCTTTGGCAGCATACGGCAACATGAATTTCAAGCACTAAAATTCAAAATCCAGATGTGTGGAAGAAATATCACTAACTAGAGCTTCAGCAAGTATTAAACTCCTACTAAACATATTTAATTTAGAATTAATAAGGTGGTGGTATGGAAATTAAATCCCCCATGATTGTCAGGGAAGAGCACCTATTGAGGTATAAATATATGAAAGATAAATCTACTTGCAATGTAATTAATTCAAATCTGCAGAACCAATAAGTGTGTGACGACGTTCCTATTATTACATTACACTTGTGAGAAATGCTCAGGAATTTAATTAGCATTTACCCATACAACTAAAGAAAATGAGATATTAAGCATGCTATCTAATTAACTAACTATAGATTGCTTGTTAAATAAATATTAAATGTATAAACACTTGAGACAACGCTGAATATGTGGCCATAACTAGATATCCGTTTACTCATGAATTGTTTTTTCTTTCTTTTTTTTTTTTAAATAGTAGTAATTTCAAGAATTAAAAATACACAGAGGCTTCCAGTGAAGTTTATAGGCTTTGTCTGTATGACTTTTATTTATTTATTTATTTTTTTAAGCTCAGTTAGGCCTTTTTCCTTACCTCTCCCTCCAAAGTTAGGCTAGAGTTTGAATTATGAAATCACATTCATTATCCAAGCAAATTGTCACAATGCTCTGGTGGTTACCTTAGGGTGTTAATATCCCCATTTTACAGTTATGGCCACAGGAATTTGACACATGTCACACAGCAAGGAAATGCTATATGCTTTATTATTGCATCATTGATGAATAGCCTTTCCCTACAAAGCAGCTGTAATGATCTTGATGTAAATCAAACACCACTCCTCTATTTAAAACTCCTCAAGGACCTTGTATATAATGAAGAGTAAGTGCTTTAATTTTTAAGGCTCTACGTGATGGACATTCCCTTCAACCTCAGATCTGTCACGTGTCTGACCTTCACTACTACAACTCTTCTCTTTTTTTGATATACTCCTGATTTTGCTGTTTCTGGACCATTCTAGGTAAGCTCCAGCATCAGGGCATTTGTACATGCTGGTTTTTCTCATTCCCTCAGTTAACTTATCAGTGAGGGCTTCCTTATCTACGCTATAAAGAGGGATATCTTTCCCACAATTCCAGTAGCCTTAACTTGCTTTCTTTTTCTCTTATCATAACACATACTACACAGTTTATGTATTACATATTACATATCCTTGGGTGCCACCCCCATTCAAATGTAAAGTCTGCAAGAGCAAGGATGCACCTTTGTGCATTACTATATCTCCAGCACATGAACAAATGGTGCCTGGCTCATAGTAGGCACTCACTAAATATTCAATGAATAAATAAAAGAATGTTCTGTTAATAATAGCATCTATGCCACATTAGAAGTTTCCAATTGGCCAAAGTAAACCCAATTTGTACATTTTTCAAAGTTCATCTTGATCAGTGTAACATGATACATGGTTAGAACTGGATCATGCTCTTTACTTAATTTTTTTTTATTG